ACTTCGTTCATCAAGAGGAAAGTAATTGTGCAAATTTCCGTGATAACCTAGTAATTCCTGTAATCTCTAAGTGAGAACAGAAAATTCTAGAATTCGTATAGTTTTTTTTGGGGTAGGGTTGTCTATTTCTATAGATTTACTCTCAATCCATGTACATTAAAACAATAGAAATTATGGAAAAGTTACTTAAAACATACTTTGTAGCCAAAGGAATGACTATTTATTAAGAAAACCAGCAAATTGATGCGAACAACGAGAGAAAAGAAAATCTAGAATAATGTTTTTCTTCATTAAAAGATGTATAGGAAAATGTCCTTAAATTAATTGAAAGAATAAGCAGAATAGAAAAAAACAAGACGACCCGATATATGACGACAGACAAAATGAAATAGAACAGATAGAAAAGTAAAAATAGAGTAAGAGAAAAAGGAAACACCAAGTAGTTGTACGTGTATAAAAGCTGCGAAATAATTCATGCTCCTTGATCACATAAAAGGTAATTTCCGAAATTTGCTATTCATTTCTCTAGTTTCATAGCAATCACTGCCAATTCTGAAAATTTCCATAATTGCAGGTGGTAGAGTTCTTTATTTGTACATATTTATTTCTTAATCGATATACATTAAGAGTAAAGAAATTTTGGACATTTCCTTGTTATTCTTGTAGCATCTGAGTAATTACTGAAAGTTGTGAAAACTCCTCTGATTTTTCGGAGTAGGGTTATTTATTTAAATAGATCTATTTGCTAATTTACATACATTAATAATACTGGAGATATGGAAATTTTCGTAATCTTCTAGCAATTGCGGAAAATTTTATAAATATTGATTGAAAATTTCATTTCATGTTTTAGTATGTTGCAAAATTGCGAGAAAAATTCATTGTTGCTTGCTGGCAATTAGCGTGATTTTCCTCTATATACGTTGCTTGGTTGTTAGTATTGTTCATATTTTAGTGGCAGCTCCCTGATAACTTTTGGTGCAGATGTCTCTTTTTCTGGAAATTAATTAAGAGTGTTCTTGTGGTGTAAATTATGTATGCTATCTAAAATTTATAGTAATTTCGAAGATTTCCCATGGCGAAAATCGAAACATGCCCCAACTCGATTTTCTACAAAATAGAATTTAATTAAAATTTACAGTATTGTCATGAATGTCATCATTCAGCATAACATTTGTTGGCTCTTTACAAAATATGATTAATAAAATTGGAAAATCTCACCTTTCATCTCTTGTTAGATAGGTAGTCGCTGTGATATGCACAGCGTTGTCCCTGTCAAACAATTACTAATCGACTTTATTATATCAATTGACATCAATCTGATGAATGTTCTTTTCACAGAAAGTTGAAAAAAGCTTATGAAAATTTTCTAATAGTTTTTTAGGCATCATAGACGAATGAATTGTTTGCTGGTAATAGAAAATCTATTGAAGAAATACTAACCTCACGTATCGTGCTCATCAAGAAGCTATTTGTAAAGCGTGATAATCTATTTTAACACAAAACTCAGGAAGCGAATAGATCTAAAATAATTGCTTAGTACGATAGTCTCACGGCTAGGGGCGTAACCAGAAAAAAGCTGTAGAGGGGGCTCAGCCCCCCCCCCCCCCCCCCCCCCCCCTTTCTTTCGCGGGGCGCACAACAACACCCCACAAACACAGCCCCCGAAACACTGGNAAATTCCGTAACGCTTGGCCGTGCCGATATCAACATTGACAATAACATCAAACAACAAATTTTTTTTACCAAAATAATCAGCTTTGAAAGCTCTACAAACCCTGCAAGTTGCATTTCAATTTAAAATAATCATTTGTAAAGACTATAGATCTCTGTCTCGGATGATCTCAAAGAATATAGGTGAAATAATACTGTTTAATAAATTTGTCTCAATATTTGAACTAAATCAACAGGGGGAAGAATTCTGAACTATCAGGTTTGTAGAGCAAGTGACGCTCTATCGAATACACTATACCAGTGTATCGAGCAATTCGGCTTTCTGAAATAATCAAGAGCTCTATTTTTTGTGCCGTCGGTGACCAGTTAGGGTATGTGTGGCCAAAATTTTTTTTTCGAAACTCAAATAAATTTTAGCATGATTCGATGCGTCTTTTCACGAGGAATCCGAATATGGTCTTGGATTTTATTTGTAACTTCGTTTTAGTGAAGAAAGCTATCAAAAACCATAAGTCAATATTATGCAGAAAACCTGGTTTTTACATATTACTGATAATGCCTGATAACAGTATTTTGAGCATATCTTCATGAAAACAAAACCTTTTTAAAATATTTTTTTATCAAAATGCTTAGAATTAAAAGCTCCACAAACGCTGAAAGTTTCATCAAAATCGGAGATCACTTTTGTACAGTGTGTCAGAGATCCGATGGAAATAGCCTGCTATTCGAGTTTGGGTGCTAAACAAAGAACAAAAACAAAAATAATTTTTGTTTTTCCACTGAGAGAATACCTTTTTGAAAGAGTGAAAACAATGATTGATTGTAAGTAGAACGAACATTCCTTATAAATGCGATACTTTTTAAAACTACAAAGCATAATTTTACATAAATGCATTATCGAAGTAGAACTCATCCGCATTTTTCTAAATTACAAAGCGTAACAATCTGAACTCAAAACAAAAATCGCAAACAACAAGCAAGATAAGGATAATTATTGTTTTGGAAACTTCATAATTTCAATATTCTTTGTCAAAAATATGATTTAGACCGTAGTGTGCACCTGGGACAAAAGCAATTTGAAAGAAAATTAACAAAAGAGAAGATCGTTTACCGAAGTCACCTATCGATGGCAAGTTCCCAAAGTGGCTAAACGAGAAATTGATCGGGAAGTTTAACAGACTAATGCATCTTTCTTTGATGAATTTTCCTGAATCAAAATAGCAGTGTTTCGAGCGGTTGACAGTGCGATCAATCGAAATTTTTGTGATGAATGTCGATGGAGGTAGGCGTACGCATATGACTGTTCACATCATCCATACCCCCACATGCCCACATCCAATTTCATCGCTCGCAATATATTCTGTATTTCAGTTGAAAAGCGTCAATGTTCAATGTCGTTTTTACTTGCAATTAAATAATTACGATCACTTTAGGCCGAACCTGGACAAAACAATTTTTATTTTGAATCGGTCTCCATATCGTTTGCTTTTTCTTAATACATGATCCACATCACAAAAACCTAATAAATAATCATGTTTTATGTCGCTTTGCGTGCTTCTTATCTAAGACACGTGTATAAAAAGAATGAAGACATCATAAATTAGAGTTAATATTTTTTTCTACAACATACACAATCATGTTGTGTGCCATGTTATCATTTCTTTTTTCTTGTCGACATCGCCTACTTTAGTTTCATCATTGCAGTGTTATTCGTGTAAAAATCCTTTCATACATAATTATTTCGTGAAAAGTGACACAATTCCCTCGTTTTCTGAATGTCCACTGGTTAATGGTACACAATGTTGATTTACTGTAACCTGGAATCAAAATATTAACGGGACTATCATCATAGATGATAATGGAAATGCTTTGTCAAAGAAAGATATTTTGAAAGATATGATCACACCTATGGCTTTCATAGCAGTTACACATGATAAAGAAACTCCAATAGTGGCACATCATTTTCATTTGTTTTGTATGTCATGGGATAAATGCAATGATGAAATGAGTTTGAAGTGAATTCTTCGTTCACTGATTATCGAAGAGAAATTTTCTCAAGAATTGGCTCCATTAATTCAGTTTGTTTCTTCATTTGACGCAAAGTCTGCTGCACACTTTGATTTTCATAATTCTGCAGGTAAATGTGCTTCACCAGATCGCGGCACTTGTCAACGATGTGAAATTTTTGTCGATAAATGGCCTTCGTCTGGTTAAGGATTTTGTACAACATGCCCTCATTATTTTATCCCTACGAATTTGGTAATGCGTTCTACTACATTTGTACCCGAATAATTGAACACAGCTTGCTGATCAAGCCCAACTTGCCTGTCAATTGAAGGGATGTAATACAATCGATAATGTCAATCGAATTTATAAGACGAGCAAAACTTCCTTCAACTTTGCCGATTTTTCCAAAAGCCTATTAGACTATATGTATAATTATTATGCCAATCAATTAAGCCTTATCCACACATATACATTGAGATATTTGTGAATGAATTTATCACAATATACGTGTGTCTAGACGAAAGCCTAGTTAAAAATCAGTTTCCAATTAATTTTGAACGAAAGAAAAAAAACAATCTTTAGGGTATAAATATGAATGATTTTCTTGCAAAAAATCGTTCTAATTTTCGAATCAAATACTAATCGTTTCTTTTTTAAATTTTAGACTGGCTTGATGATGCATAATTCAATAATTCAACATCAAGAAATACAATAAAATAAAATGTAGGCATCAGTTTTTTCTTTTTTTTTCTTTTCTGTTCGATCATATGGAGGGTAGTAAGTTCTCCTGTTGTCTTTTTATTAATGTTTTTATTTTATTTTAAGGGATAAACAGTAAAGAAAAGGATAATGAGGGCTAACTTATCTCTTTCTGTTTCGTTATATAACATTATTTTAAATTCTTTTTCTTTCCTTTTAGTCAACAACATCGTCGTGTCGTCGTCCGACATCATACATAGTGAGTACTTATTTTATTTTTCTTTTGAAATAAGAGTAGGACGAGTTCTGTCCATTAAGATTAGGTTCTCGTTATCTGAAGGACTTCGGAGTAGTCCTTAAAAGCTCCACCAAGAACTGTTTTTATGTCCGTGGCACACGACCTGCCCTCCAGACTCACTGACACATAACATCGGATGAGTATATGTGGATGGCATGGGTCTTCCAACGCATACATGAGCTTTACGCTCGCTCCGTCTTTATCAGAGTAGTTCCTGGTCGCGCGCGCGTGCGCGTGAATAGAATAACAATTCCTTTCATCAATTCAACGTGAATGTATTTGAAAGGAAAGAAAAGAAAAAAAATAACCTATCGTCCTAAGTTTATTCAATAGAAAATCGTTGAACACGAGCATTCCAATAATCTACGACATAGAGGTTGCCTTGCCGATCGAAGGACAAACCCCGCAGAAATTGAAACTGATTTGCTCCTTGTCCGGAGCCATTTCCACCCACAATAACAGTGCCTTGTTTCGCTCCTTTAGACCAACGCATCACTCGATGTTTCAACGAGTCTGCCACATAGATGTTACCCAACGTATCGACGAACAGTCCTTGAGGATACGACAATTGTGTCAGAGCATTTCCTTCACCTTGACCTCCAGCGACGACAATTCCTTCTTTTGCATCTTTATTCCATTTCATCACACGATGATTGTCGTTATCTGACACATAGACAGTCTGTTGTTGATCAACAAACATGAAGGTCGGATCGTTGAGTTGATTGAGACCAGCACCTTGGCCATTGCCACCAGCCATGAGAGTTCCATTCTTGTCTCCTATTTGATATCGTCTTATTTCATGTTTCTCGGTGTCAGAGATGTAAAGATATCTCTGATTATCCATGGCCAATCCCCAACAACGAATGTTGTCGATGAGCATTTCTCCTTGAGCTGTGGCACTACGACGAGACCATCGTACGACTCGTCGATTCAATCGATCACAAATAATGAAACTATCAGTCTCTTTGTCAATCAATATATCGGATGGACCACTCAATTGATCCAATCGATTTCCTTTGCCATTGCCACCAGCTGTTACTTGCCCATTCGTATCACCCATCTTCCATTGGATGATACGATGATTGTAGTAGTCAGCGATGACAATCGTTTGATCATCATCAACGAAGAGACCGACAGGGTAGTATAGTTGATTGGTGGCATCGCCATATCCGTTGCCTCCAGCAACGGTCACTCCATTTTGTGCCCATCGGGCATTGACTGGAATATTGGGAATCACTAAAATGAACGAGAAAAAGAAAAGAAATAATAATTGTTGTTGCCGACGAATAAGATATTCTTTTTCTTCTTCGAAGAGAACTTAATAAAACTGTCGAGAATGTCTTTCTCTAACATGCTGTAACCAAGAAAAGGTTCTTCTAGTTTCATATGCAACAAAAACAAACTTCGTAACAATTTCTATGAGAAATCTTTGAGATTTCTTGGAAAGAGTTTTTTTTTTCAAGAAGAAACATTTCTGAAATACTAAGAAGAATAATGGTAATTCTATCGAAGCTTAAATCGTCCTAGAATTTATATGATAGACTGTGGACATGATTTCAAGCAATGGAATAATGAAGTTAGTCAGATTGCTAAAATCAAAAAAGAACTGTGAAGATTCTATCTGGATCTTGATCCTAGATTCGAAGAACGTATTGATCATATGATTTGAAGGTTCTTTCTAAATTATGGACAGCTCCTTTTAAGGAGACTTCTGAGATGACTCTAGCGACTTATACTAAAGACAAGGAATATTTTGGAGTTTTTGAGGATAAAGTAAAGAGTTTAATGCAAGAGTTAGTATTCTTGAAAATCCTGAGAAGTTTAATGCTAACAGTATGTTATCTATCGATTAGAAAACATAGAGATTTTAGGATTTTAGGCATAGTTTTTATTATCAGCAGCAGTGCTAAGAAGCTTAACTCTTTTCAGCCTTTTTATAAGGATCTTGTAATGAGGATGCCAAAAATAAGAATTTCAGGATGCTTCCCATTTGCTTGGAGAATATTCGTGATGACATGATTTTTCTGGATGACAAATGATATTCTGGTGAAGGGTATCATAAACATTCAGATAGAGGAGTGAGGTGCACCTCTATTGAGTTTTTGTCAACTTATGGCAAGCTGTTCGAAGAACGATCGTGATACCGTCTTGGCGAGATCACTTCTGCTTTTGAATCATTGAGAAGACTAATGCTAATCGTAAACAAACTTCCGATAGAGAAACATAAAGATTTAGTTAGCTTTCTAGAATTACCATATGGGAGTTCTTTCGCCATATAGAAAGTCGAATCTTATTCAGAGAAAACTATTAGTAGGTTTTAGAGAATTTTAGAATGACTTCTATGAACTCGAGGTGAAAATCTTACGTATTAAATATTGAATAGTGTCCGAATCGGAAACAGAAATGGCTTAGGTGGGTATGCATCTTTCTATTCTTCACTAGTACCTACGCCCATATCTACACCCTTCTTTCGGCATATACAAATAAATCATTTGTTACAAAATGGTCGCAAGATTGACATAACATTTTTCAACAATGGCTAATATTATAAATAAAAAAAATATAGAAATACCTTCATTTATTATTTTAGTGACACATTCATCATAGAAAAATATGTATATGCAAATATGAACTTGTGAGGTTCTATCGTCATTATCTTAACAAATAGTCATAAAATTAATGGAAAAAGATGGAATAATGAAAAAGTACTTGATAGAAAACAAGGTACAAAGAAAAAAAAATATACACAAAATAAAACAATTAAGGGTATCCCTCTTTCTCTGCTCAAAAGTTTTCTTTTCTTTTCGTGTTTGATTTTCTTGTGGCCATTTTATAGTTTCAAGTAGTATCTATCTACTGAGTTTATTTTGGAACTCAACAATTGTCTTTAAAGGTTACAAAATTCGAGAAGAGATCAAATTTACATAATCAAAGTATCTAAAATTGCATATTGTTTTGCGTTTTTCTCAAAATTAAATTGTTAAGAGAAAAAGTACCGTTTCGTCTCATTTCTCAGACATGGTAAGAGGGATCGAGCTGAATTCTTTTTCACATATTGTATTCATTATTTGGAGTGAGTATTTTTTCGTTTCAAAACCTATTGCTCGGGTGATTTTTGGCAGCTCACACAAAATTTGCTCTAGTAATAAAATTAAGCTGCTTTTTTGGGATAGGCTCGGCATTTTGACTTTTTCATTGAAATGACAAAACAAAAAGAAACAAAAAAAATATACCCATCCCAAACAGTGTCTATTATCTGTAAAAAAAAGTTTTCAGTTGAATGAAAATACCATTTTGGAGAAACGGTGAAGAAAACTAGAGACCATTTTTTGCCAGTGTGACCTCATTATGCCATAGAAGACAGCATCCGGGAATTTTGAGCCTATGACAACTATTGCTGCACTCATCAAGATCTATCTGTCCTGAATATTTCTTATTTTTATGACGAGACGCTCTTAAAAAATCTCGAAAAAACGGGGTACGCTTAATGTTTTACAGTTCGTAGCTTATTTCGAGTATCATAAAACAGTATATGGCATGTGAAAATTATTAAAAGATCAGATTAAATGCAATACAGAGATGGGTATAGGACAGGACGGTCCTGTGCCCATCTCTGATGCATGAACAAGGCCCATCGATTTGGGTCTGAGCTAAAGAAAGTTTTATTAAAGTCAATGCAAGGTTCAAAGAAATTTGATCATAATTAATAGTGGTAACTCAATATTCATTGCATGTGTAAGATATGTGGATGGGAGTGTGCATGAAGAGAAGATGCTCCCCGATACCCATATTTCAAAGTCGTCTTTTGTTGAATATTGTTTTCTATATTTTTTATTCTTGTATACAAATACTCAAGGACCTCGACTAGTTTTATGTCCATAGTAACAATTATGTGTAGTGAACACTATAAATTATAGTTCATTCAGAAGAAAAAGAAAAGCATTAAGTAGTTGAGATCTTTGCAAGTTTCTCTTTTGTTGTGTATTTAATATATGAAAATTTTGAGGATCCTTACATGAAAAGAAGCAATTGCGAAGTTTTCATCAAGATTTTAGCCAGTTTTGTTCATGATCTAATTAAAATTTATTAGTCTTTAGTTCACAACATGAATCTCGACAGCATTACATGGGGGGTTTTCTTTTCAAATTTTTATTATATTTCATGTCGAACTAAGCAGAATTTTGAAGTCTACAATGTTTTAAAAGTTTATATTAATATTGAGTTGAAATTTAAATCAGAAAAACAACAGTTACTTTTGTGATTATATCTTGAAAGAGAAGTTGAAAAATCCTGCAATTTGAATATTACTTGTAATGTGCATAGTTATTGCATCAACTTTTTGTTAAATAGTCATTTTTGGTGACAGACAAATCATTTAGTAACACCTGTTCATAGTTTTGGTTATGTAGAGAAAAATTAGCAGTAGATTCTTTCTTATGCCAACCGAATTGATGAAATTAATGAAGTCTCATGGTATTTTATAAACTACGTAAAACAATAACAGTTCAGTGGAAACTTCACTTTTTCAATTAGAAATCTTCTTTCTTCAGAATTCGGTCGTACGCTCAGAGAAAAATAGTGAATCCTTGCAGAACCCTTACTGAACTCATCATTGATCTAGTAATGAAACACCAACGACTTTCACTGGGAAACAATTGAGGGAAGTAACACCTGAATAATCAACTTCAAGTAGCAAAGATACATGCATCTAGTTCTTGAAATAAAGAAACTAAAACGGATAAAAAGATTCAATTGGATTATATTATGTGATACAATGAAAAAAAACATTATAACAGAGAAAATGTTGTGAAAGAGGTTTGTCGAGAAGGTGACATCCCATCCACCTGTTCATCCATAATAGTGGGACGTTTTCATTTTTGTTATTAGTCAACAAAGCCGGAAACAAAAATAGACAGTGAGAAGTTGCTGACTATTTTTCAAAAAAACATCAATAAATGATGCTTTTCTATAGCATTCTGTCAAGTAAAGACTGTAAAATCTAGTTGATTTTGTTAGACAATCGTCATGAGCATGGTAGCTTATGGCAGAAAATATTTTTAAGACGTGTCATGACTGGTATTTAACTATAGCTTAGTTTTTAGAACGAAACTATACGAGATAACGAAATTTTTAATCAGCGAACAGAAAATTTCGGACACAGTAGTAGTGCTAGTTGCAAGAACGCAGCTAGCTTTCGAAAACTTAAAACTTAATTCACGGAAATCTTGCTTAGTTTTGGATTTTAAAAAGCATGATTTGAATTCATAGTCTCTAGCGCAAACGTCTTCGACGTCAAAAGTATCGAAAAGTCTTTTTTTAAATTTCGAAAAAAGAAAGATAAAATCAAGCTAATTTTTCTTTTAACCGTGTAAGATATTCCTGAATTGAAACTCTTTTTTGCAGCAGAAATAACGAAAAAAACCAGTAATCCAGTTAAGAAAAAATGTGAATGTGCCTGATAATCTTGAGAGTGTGGGTGTTGGTTTTGTGTAAGCGAAGATCCACACCTACATCCAATGTTGAACACCTAAATTCTATCGCACAGATTAGCTTTCAGAATTGCAAAGTATGATGTGAAAAAAATACTACCAAAATACGCTGGATAGTAGTCTGTTATATCATCCGTTTGTGTTCCATTGTGTGATAGGAAAAAGCATTCGCGATACGAATGCACCTTTAAATTCTTTGCTATGTTGTTCTGACGACTTTAGACACTCATAGGAGATCCTTGGAAGTTTCCATTTTGAAACTTTTAAATGTGACTACATTCGCTGTGAAAAATCTGCGAAAAACTGAAATGAAATTTCAATGAAGGAAGCAAATGAACTTGGCTATAGAAGGCATACAAGAGAAATCAAGAATCGTCAAATTAATACCATAGAGAGAGCAATTTTGATATTGTTCCCTTTCAACATCACTGAAAACGATTGTATAGATATGGTTCGCTGTGCAATGAAGAAATAATCATCGAATCATCTTATTCCATCAATGAGCCTCCACTATTCCTTTTGTGGGCTTTGTCCATTCCACTATGAACGATCGAGACAGAGTACGAAAATTTGAGCTTTCAAGATATTCAACGTGTTATTACAGTTGGTTTGTTGAGGGGGATTAATCATGAATGGCTCATCAACTTTTATACTAATGGATAGTATAGTTATAATAATTTTGGATAAGGATAGAAAAGCAGACAGGAAAACGTCTCTAACGGGTGCCTACTGCACATATATATAGTATTAAACTATTTCAATATTCTTGTGGCTGCATTCGTTTCGCAGCCTGATTGAGGATTGATAAAATATTCTTGTCTTTCACACTACTCAGTTATACTGTTCTACACATCTTGTCATATTTATATCAATATAGTTAGTCAAACCTAGTTCTTTTGAAGTCCACAGCTCCTATCTTCTTTTATTCATTTCAAGTGACGAAATAATTGAAGCATTTTTTATCGTGTAGCTACAACCTACGGGCATCAATCGATCATGAAACAGACCATTGGATCCTAACAATGATCGACTATCCCGATCATGTATGTCTATACAATGACCTCTAAAGTGTAATAGAAAGCTCTTGATTCCCCGTACTTCGCTGAAACCTTTCTATATGAAGTAAAACAATCAGTTTATTGAGTATTTTTTGTTTTTGTGACATACTAATAAGCCTGACAATTTTTCATTTTCCACGAATCAAATAAAAATCATTCGATGAACAAAAGCTAATCGAAAACAACATAAAGTGACCTAGGAAGTATATCCCAAGCGAAAAGGCTTTTGAAAACGGCATAAAAAACAAAGAAGTGGAATACACGAAGGATCATTGCACGAATGGTACGATGTACTACGAAGAAGAGTATCGAGAAAATTCTCGTATGGCTGGATACATACCTTCAGTTCAACTTAGAATGCATTTTACGGCGAATCGGAGACGGAAATACTAGAATTCACCGCTAGCTTTAGCTACGTTCTGGTACGACTAATTCTCTGATTGGTCACTTTTGGATAGCCTGTGCTGGTATCAAGCCGTAAAGAACTTCAAAAAAAAACAAAGGAATAGCTTAATGACTTTAGAGAGAAAAGAAATGAGACATGGAATGGTGTTTTGAACAAAGATCTATAATAAAGAAAGAAAAATATGCCAACTTACCACCTTTCGGTTGTTTCTTTGTCAGTGTTTCTATCAGTTTGCTGAGACCACTGATTGCACTAAGTCCGATTGCAGTTATAGATTGCACTTTGAATACAAATGTCGTTTTGGATGGTAGATTCGAAATAATTATCATCTTTTGATTTGCATTTGTGTAAATTTCAGTCCATTTTTCTTCTTTCTCATTTTCATTTTTACCGAATAATGTTTCACCACTATATTTTCGATACATAACTTTGTATTTCTTTACTTTTTCGGTTCCACTAGCTGCATCTGCCCATCCAAGAGTTATACTATTGTCTGTAACATTTTTCGCATACGGTGCATCTGGTTTACTTGGTACGATAAAGCCTTTCTTTTTTGATCCATCATCGTAGAGAATAAGTTCAGCGCCTTTAATATGACCAACTGAATATTCTTCAGCAACAATAAATTTTATTTTTCCATTTTCAACACTGTTCGCTTTAGCAAACTCTATAAATTGTTGTACATTTTTGCGAATTTTTGTCGTAATACGACGATCTTCAAACCATGCTTTGCGTTTTTGACGGCTGTTCGACGAGTTAAGATTGTTCTTATCATTTACATAATTGTGCATATCACTAAGTTGTGAATCATTTTCGTCAATGAAACGAAATGAAAGACAGCAAATATAATCATATCTAGGGTCACTAATGACTTCATATAGTGATGATGATTTAATCGCAATATTTACGCTACTATCTCTGACGAGATTTTCGACCAATGTCGTGATTATCGCAATTGCTTCTCGCTTTTCTTTGAGCCATGATTCTAATTTTTTCTTATTAAATGGCGATGAATCAACTTGTTTAAACAAATTAAATAAAACAGATTCTTCAATATCAGTATTCCCACGTAGTTTTGGTAGATACAATGCAATCTTTTCTTTCAACTCACGTTGCAATTCCAACAATCGCGCGGTAAAATCCAATAAATGATTTTTCATATGATTAAAATATGTAAACATCGCACTATTTGATAAATCTAATGCTGTTACTTCCAAAGAATGCAGATTTTCAATCACCGATATTGAGTAGTCAATCAGTTTCGATGAAATCTCTCGAACAATTTGCATAGCGTTATTATCCAATAAATGTAATGGATAGAGCCACACCTTTTTTGGTATGGCGTTTTCATTGTTTTTACCTAACAGTGACGGTAATTGGCGATACATTTTAAGAGCTTCATTAAAGGTATTTGGATTTTTACTCAAACGAAAATCATCATAAACTTTACAATTCAACTTGTCAACGAAATTCTTTTCTTGATCGGTCATATTTAATTTAGCTTCTCCCTCGATCCGAAATGTTGGTATTTTGTTAATTATCGCTTTTAATCTACCGCTAATTTCTTTTTTAGATTCATTATTTGATACTGCACGAACAAATACAAAAAATGCATCGGCGCCATAAAGCACACCAGTAACGACATGTGTTGCAAGATCTGCATTATGTAAATCTGAATGATTCAGATTACCTTTACCAAGATGTTTCATTGTTAATTGTTCAAAATGTGTTGTAGTTGAATATTTTAGTGTCATACGAGTTTCATGGTTTGTTTTTTGAGAATCCTCAGCATATTTTGCAGAACCTGAAATGCTGACTAGACCACCAAGTAGACTTAATTTTAAACTAGCTTCGACTCCTAAAGCGTGTGCCTTATTTTGTAATGAATCTTCAGCGATTATTTCATAGCCAGTATATGGTTGTTTATATGTGCTTGTATTGTTAGCCAACTTTTGCGGATCCCATAGAGCAGCGCCAGCGATTATCTTATTACTACGCATATCATAGAGCATGCCCAAACGAAATGGACGTCCCAATGTAACCATTTGAATTGGTTGTTGTTTGGCCGTTATTTTCAATGACCAGTAATAAACAATTAACAATATCAGGCGTAAACTAAACATTGAACTTTACTTTATCCTTTTCTTATGCAGCTAAAATAAAAACAAAAAATTCAAGTATATGCTATGCAAAACTACACATTGGTTTGTGCCGCGAGCTAATAGTGAATTTCAGAACTGTTGTTTCTTGAAGAGGCTATGGTCATTGCTCTATCACTCATCTTATAGAAAACAAGAGATACGTTTAATTAAATCTTTATAATAACAGAAGGCTAGAAGGTTGCATATGGGATTGTGCAGGCAATTTCTTGATTTCGGGTCACTTTATCCGACTCAGAAATTTTAACGTTGTCTTTTCGTTGGTGGATGCCTGATCTAGTCCACGGATTTGCTAGAGTGTCGATATTAGATTCTAGTGGTGAGGATGAGCGTGGAATGAAGGTAAGGATGAGGATGATGATTGCATCTTCACCCTTACCCTCACATCCTCAAGATGGAAGATGAGTCCGTTTTTCGATTAATTTACCCTCAACCTCATCCTCTAAAAACAGTGAAGAAAACAGATGAATATGGGCGTAGGTGTGAGTGTGGGCTTGAGTCTTCAGTTCAACTGTACTTGCACTCACACTCTTGCCATTTTTCTATGTTTTGTTACCAACATTGTGGGATATCCTAGGTGGTAGAGTTCTATCACCGGTAGAAATATCACAGCGATTGGGTGTTGGAACATAAAATGCGACTGAGGGACATTGTGGCAACAAGGCATAGAAAAAGAACAAGATAGACCTTTTTAATGGTATTTCAAAAGTTCTTATACGATTGACGAAAACTTCTGAAATTTTGAATGCAGAAGGGCAATACCTTGATAGTCATAATTAGAAAAACGAAAAGTTAAAAGTTTCACAGTTTGAAATGAGAAAGTCACTTTCACCGAATAAAACCAGCTGAAAATTGATTAAAAGATAACACAAACTTCATACTAAAAATTTCATTATTATTTCGACTGTTTGAACAGGAAAAGGTTATCAGATCGAGCTGAAAATTTCAAGGAATACTAATCTCATTACCCTCCACAACATATCAAAGAATCAGCGCATTCTGAGATGTTACTCCATCACCGGTGTTTGAGTCTCTCAGAAAGTTATTCTTCAACTAGGTTGAAACGCGTCGTAATTTGCTTGACTCACCCTCACTCTCATCTTTTTAAAGTTCAATATATTAAGTCGAGCATATCTAGACGCGATTTAATTTTCGACGATGTTTAAACGTGTTCAGGCGCGGTCTTGTTTAAAAATACATCCCCATGGAATCATCTCTTGTGCATACACGCATTCGATCTTTGCCTTTGGATACAAAAAATATTTCCACCGGTTGTCAAGAGTAAAAGAAAAGACTTTTTAGAGTGTCCTTCAAAGCGGTAGTTACGTAAATCTAGGTAACCATGTTGATAAAAGATGGCTTTTTCGACGATTCTGTTATCAGTTTTTTCTTATAAATGGTTTAATTCAGAACTAATACAACGCTGACATGATAGCCCGCAAAATATTTCCCAGACCAAACTGTGATATAAGTAGGCACAAACGTACCAAAGAAGCTGCATATATCATTTTAAAAATTAAGCATGAGACTGGATCCTTTAATCGGCATTTTTCTTTTACCCTAAGCACATCGTTTAATTATTAACGGGGAGAATCTCCGATTATACGGAGGACTTCTAATCAGCCGAGGGTCTTATAACGATCATCCTGTTTGTAACATATTCTGATGCTCGCTGAGTTATTGTTTTTGGATCAAAACTGCAATCAGAAAAGTGTCTTATATTCGTGTATTCTTTATAAAGACATCTCAATATCAAACTCGTCAAATTGAGGTCCGAACTGTTATCAAAATTTACAATCACACCAGTCCAAGAAAGCATACAGAAAAGGTTAATACTAGACGAAACTATGATATTGGTCAAGTACATGAATTTAACGAGTAATGGAAAGTGCGTACTATATAATGTGAAACATTGAAATGAGTTTTTGCTTGTATTTACATCCAAGAAATATTTTGAATATACAGAAGCAAAGAGAGAAACTGAATCATACTTAAACTCAAATAGTTTGATGAGTTCAGATGGTAGACCAACATCCGACACGAAAATTATTAGACCAAACCTAAATCCAACCTCGAAATTGTTTGAACTCGGTGGATTTCTAATTCGTATCGAAAGTATTACTAGATATTGATATTGAAGTACTGTACTTAACCAATGTTCTTTATGGTTTTATCTATTTATTCTGATATGATGAATACCGATTACAAGAGGCATAGGAAGGAAATAATATTCAGACTTGCCTTCGTTAGCAGCGTTAGAATAATCTCGATATGAATGTATATGTAAATATATGTATCTCTATCTCTATAGCGCGCGATTGATATTTATACATGTAAGAGCTTCGCGTGCAATGGGAAAAGATGCGACGTAAATATTTTGATAAATGTTACATGATACGGGACTTTTTCATCGGATGTCATGAGACATTTATCAAAATACAACTATTTTTTTGCAAAAATGACATTCTTGGTTTTTGTGTTGAAAGAAGGAAATACCAATGTTAACAAAGAGAACAGCAAAGGAAAAATACAAATCGAAGACAATATAATTTAATCTTGTCGACGTAAATCATAACAAAGAGCTCTTATCGAAGTTTCATTATTATGATAATAGTTAAAGAACGATCAAATATCACAGAAAAATAGAGCTTTGCTTTTATTATCCCTTTATATACACAAAGAAAAAGTTTTCTCAAGTTTTTTGTACGAGAGTAAAGTACTTTTGTTACAATTTTTGCATGGATTCAGTAGTACCATATTTTGTACAATTAGTCAACCAGATAAATGCACCGCAGAATTTTACTTTTTCATGAACTGTTTGACGAATATGATGTTCCATGGGGCTAAATGGAATATGAAATTGTTTAAAGTGTTCAATCTTATGGAACAGAATATTTTTGAATGTTTATCCATTCTATGTGAGATAAAACATTAAGAAACATATCCTATCCTATCGAACCATTTTTTCTATTCCATAAATAGTCCTAGTTAGTGTAATTCTTTTTGTATCAAATATAGAAACGAGAAAATAAGAATTATCATATCTAACTAACAAGTAATTCAACACCTCAAGATAAAGAACAAATATGTATGTGTGTGCATTATATGCAAAATACCGAAAATAAATGTGTTCCATTAGAATATTCTTCGAAAACAGAGGAAGTCCGTATAAAAAAAGTAACCAATCCTTACACAACTGTTTTAGAAAGAAAATATTGTACATTTAAATCGCTTTCTTTTCTTAGATGCGGCTAAAGATAAAAAAGGAAAAGGAAAAGGAAAACAGTATGAAATAATGAATTAATATAAGATACAACCGAAATAACTGTTGATAAATACAAGGTCGTTTAAAATTTATTCTATGGAAGAAATATACTTAAGTATCTCTACTATATTTTCAGCAAATAGACTGTTTTTTACCACTGATGACAAAGTGTTGATAGGTCATACTCATAGGAAAAAACATGAGACATCATTCTGAAGTATCATCGCGTTGATCCCAATGAAGAATTCTATTGCAACTTTTGTAGCAAATTCTTACTTTTTATAGCTGAAAATTTCAAGATTCAGTGACTAAGAAAATGTATATCTTTGGTACGAATTTTGTACAAATGACAGTCGTGTGAAGAATTCATTAAAAAGAAAATAATTATAGTTTAGTTTTTCTTAACGAAACTATTACTTACGATTATCCAAAAGTAGTGGCAGAGGTACCTTTTCTTCTTATAGAAAACTTGAAAAAATCTTCCTTTTTTTATGAACAGATGCAGCGTCTTCCCTCTATTTTTCAATGCTATTTGATCACTATTCAACTAATATCATAATAATAAAATTTCGATAAGATCTGTTTTTGTTGAAAACTAGTTGGCAGCATGTAGATCATACTGGGTGTGACATAAAAAATGGGGCACTTTGCATTTCATTTTATCATCACTTAATATGTTGTATTAAAAAAACAAAATATACTACAAGATACAGTTTGAAAAGCTCTACAATTTATAAGCGACCGCTTATTTTATAGTTGCACTTTTTGTTTTCAAAATACACAAAACTCTGAGTAACCAAATTTTGATATTGTGAAAACGAGAATTGTTTTCTGGTAAAAGACGAATGCGGTTTTTAACTATCTCATCTTTTCATAATTTTTCTTTATAAATTGTAGAGCTTTTCACGCTGCATCTTGTGGTATATTTTGTTTTTTTAGTACAACATATTAAGTAACAATAAAGTGGAATGTAAAAGTGCCACACCCATTATGATCTAATCCTACCAGTTAATTTTCAACAAAAACAGTTCGTATCGAAATGTTATTATTATGATATTAGTTGAATAGTGATCAAATAGCACAGAAAATAGAGCGAAATATGCTCTATCCGTTCATAAAAAAAAGAAAATTTTTTCAAGCTTTTTATAAGAAAAAAGATACTTCCGCCACTACTTTTGGATAGCTCCAACTATTCAAACGAAATTAAATTTACAATGATCAATATAACGAAAATTCATCACATATTCAACTATTTTGAAGTTTCGAAATCAAATGTTTGACGAAATACAAAAGAAATTATTTATAATATTTTTTTGGGAAAGAAATGCATTGACAAGACAAGATACGCATGTTACATCAACATTTATAATTCAAAACATTTTTCCCAAGTGACAACCGTAAGGTGGATCCAATACTTCCAAGTAAGTTCGCATAATCTCATTTGTAATCGTTATGTATATGTTTGTAAAACTTGATGAATTTTTCTTTTCGGATCGGAAAGAAACCAAAATTGCAAATTGGATACCACATTTTCAACACTTTTTCATGAAGAACTGATTCGATCGTGAAGTAGCCAGAAAATCTTAAGTTCTTCCTAGAATTATTTGAGCTTCACTTAGGAAAGATATTAGCTATCTCTAGATAGTAATGCACTTTGGCATCAAGATAATAAAATCTCGTCATCGACCTAGACATGAAT